CGTAAAAATAAAACGGGCCCCGGGCTGGGAAAAAAAGTCGTCAGAATAAGTTAAAGATAAAAGTATCTTAAAATCAGAGAAAGGCTAATACTTCTAAAAATTATCTGTTATGAATTGGAATGATATCTCATTTCAGCTTTTTAGTCCGAGGACAGTGCCTGTCAGCCGAATTATATGGCCTTGTAGTGTTTGGGCAGAAGGAGTCTAAACATGAAAGTCTGAAATGAAATGTACAGACGGTGTTGTGGATGTGCCATGGAATGAATACAGTGACTAAAATGCAGGAGTAGGATTTAAATCCAAGTAAGACTTTTTCTTCATTCTTATCTTCTTTGTGTACCACAAGGCTGATGAAAAGGAAAAACACTCCAGCTCTAAGACTGAGTTCGAAATTTACTGGGATAGGTGGCTGTGGTGTAGTGGGGCTCACGCCTGTAATCGTAGCACTCTGGGAGGCTGAGCGGCGCGGATTGCTCAGTCAGTGAGTCTCGAACCAGACCTGAGCAAGAGCAAGACCCGTCCTCTACCATCAAATAGAAAGAAATTAATTCGCGCCACTAATTATATATTATCACGAAAACAAATAGCGGGCATGGTGGCACATGCCTGTAGTCCCAGCTACTCGGCGAGGCTGAGGCAGCAGGATCTCGCTTTTGAGCCCAGGGAGAGTGTGAGAAGTTGCCTTGTGGCTGAGGCTGACGCCCACAAGCACCTCACTCCTACCGCCTGGCAACAAACGCGAGACTCTGGCTCGAAAAAAAAAAAAGAAAATATACTGGATATATTCTATGTGGGCATCCATTCACCTTAATAGTTACGAACTCCCAAAGGGGAAACGAATAAGTCAAAACAAATTAAATAATAGGCTACTATAGATGGTTTTAGCTCTAGGTGACCTCTAACCATGAACATGAATGGCCTGGTACTAGGTAGTAGTTCGCCTATCTCTCTTTTTCCGGTGACAATGACTGGATACCTAGACCTTGAAGCTTTGATATTTCCCAGCATTCCATCCATGACCCAAAGGGGCAGACTGACAGATATTCTCCAAGCTAGAATCGGGTCACCCTGCCTCTGAAATTCTGTCCTTGCCTCTACTATGGCTCAACCATACTTGGATGTCGTGACAGTTGTGTACCATGTACCGTCTCTCAACTGGCTGAGTGGCTTGGGTCCGGAACTTCTGTCTCATACCCTCAGCATTATAGCCAGAGTGACTGCCATGTACCATCTCCAGAGGCCTGTAATTCGACACAAGCGTCCAATAAATGCTTAAATAAGACAGAAAGAAACAATATATTCAACAGGGACAAATCAGCATCCACCACATTAGATACACTCACAATATAATTGAAGACGTAGCAGCGAGCAGCTGCAAACGACGTGAACCCTTTTCTCATCCTTGACAGGGTGAGATATATTGAAATCCAGTGTTATCAACTGTGTTCTCTTGTGTGTTGCCCAAATCTCCCTTTCACATTTACAACCGGGAGCCAGGTTGATGTGCACAGCACCGATTCCTGACCCCAATTTTTGCAGGATTTTACTTTTTTCAGTGCTGTCGTAAGAGGTTGCATCGTCTTTTACACCTACTGCTTGAAGGTAGGAAACACTGGAATACACTAGAACTTAAATTCCCAACAATCATACATTGAACACTGCTTTCTTTGATCATTGCCATAAAATGCATGAAGGGTAGTGAGGGAAGGAGCCCTGTGGATGTCTAGGAGAAGAATTCTAGGCAGAGAAGAGACCACTGGAAGCCTGTAAGGTAGAAGTGCACCTAGCATGTTTGAGAGACAAGATATTCGCTGTGGCTGGAGCACAGTGAGTAAGGAGAGAAAATAGTAACAAATGTGGTTAGAAGGATCATAGGACTTGGATTTTTTTTTTCTATGAATAAAATTGAGAGCCTTTCAGAGTTTTTGAGCAGAGGAGGAAGACAATCTCACTTAACATTTTTTTTTTATTTCTTTTTTTCTTCTTTATCACTTAACATTTTAAAGGAATGACATTGGCAAAGAAACAGGTTAGGAAGCCACTGAAGTGATGCAGCTGAGAGACGATGGTGGCTTGGACCACCCTGGGAGAACAGATGGGCAAAAGGGGGCAGACACCTGCCAGGGTACTCAGGAGAGGTGGCTTTTAGGTACATATAGCAAGATGGATGAATCTGAAAAACATAGCACTTAGTGAAAGACATAGGGGACACACAAGATACATGGCTTTTTACTTTGAATCTAAGATGGGCTCAACATTGGCTCAAGGTTTCGTAAGTCACGGAAAGAGAAAAATTGCTGCCAGTTATACTGGACACAACGTCTTATAAGATGTGTCCCAATTTGGGGCACATTAGAGTATCAGAAGGCTGTGTCTTGGAATCGACTGGGCAGGAAATCACATAATACCATTAGCAGAAATTAAAATACATGCACAGGGCCGGGCGCGGGGGCTCACGCCTGTAATCCTAGCACTCTGGGAGGCAGAGGCGGGCGGATTGCTCGAGGTCAGGAGTTCGAAACCAGCCTGAGCGAGACCCTGTCTCTACTAAAAAGAGAAAGAAATTAATTGACCAATGAAAAATATATATACAAAAAAAAAAATTAGCTGGCATGGGGCGCATGCCTGTAGTTCCAGCTACTCGGGAGGTCTGAGGCAGGAGGATTACTTGAGCCCAGGAGTTTGAGGTTGCTGTGAGCTAGGCTGACACCACAGCACTCACTCTAGCCTAGGCAACAAAGTGAGACTCTGTCTCAAAAAAATAAATGAAAATAAAAAAATTAAAATACATGTATAGAATTTCACATTTTTGCAAAACCATATTCAAACAGAAATTACATACAAAATGCTTAGTTTCTTTTGAGGGGAACAAAAAAGAAGTGGACCAAGCTGTGGAGGTCAAAAAATACATGCAAACACACATATGTGAATGAATGTATGTACAGTATACATACAGACAGACCAACAAGAGAGAAGCCCCCTGAATTGGGAAAAATTCACATAAATCCCAAGGTATAACCATAGCCCTCAGACCTCTTTTTGATGAGCATGCTTAGTGGACTTTTGTTCCCTTTCACCTGCACATTTTTACTTTTTCTTTTTCTTTTCTTTTTTTTTTGAGACAGAGTCTCACTCTGTTGCCCAGGCTAGAGTGAGTGCCATGGCGTCAGCCTAGCTCACAGCAACCTCAGACTCCTGGGCTCAAGCGATCCTCCTGCCTCAGCCTCCAGAGTAGCTGGAACTAACAGGCATGAGCCACCATGCCCGGCTCATTTTCCCCAACATATTTTTAGTTGGCAATAATTTCTTTCTATTTTTAGGAGAGACAGGGTCTCACTCTTGCTCAGGCTGGTTTTGAACCCCTGACCTTGAGCGATCCTCCTGCCTCGGCCTCCCAGAGAGCTAGGATTACAGGTGTGAGCCACTGTGCCCGGCCTCACCTGCATATTTTTAATGTCACAATTCACTTTGCAGTCTATGGTATTGGTGAAAATTCTGCCTGCATGCTGCTGCTTCTAAACTCCTAGAAGAGATGCTTTTGTTTTTTTACCATTCTTGGGGATCAAGATACCATCGCTGTAGCTTCCGGTAGCTAGGTGGTGCTGAGGAGGGCCCTTGTGGTTCCTGGCCAGTTACAGTTATTAAATCTCAAATTGTAGGGACGATCAAAAGGAGAGACACGGAGGCAAACATTTTTCTTGCATTTTCTCTTAAAGAGGCCTGAATGAGGAAGAGGCCCTGGACCCCATTGCCCCAGCCACGCGTGAGCAAATACGTTCTGAGCGTAGTTTTCACATCTTGGGGGACTGAGGCTGGAAGGACATTTACATCCATTTGACTTGACAATTTTTTCCCTTGCTAACGCAGTGCCTACCTTTTGTGTCTTTCAGAGACTAAAACCCTTAATCGTGCAGTCTAAATTAAATTTGACCGGTACTACATCTTCTTCAAGTGATTATTACCGTGCATCTTCGGTAGGCAGCTTATTTTTTCTCTATGAAACATTTTATCAGTTGATATTATTCAACTTCAGTAATGAAACTTTTTGGTTCACCTACAGATAGACAATAAGACCAACGATGCAATCAGTGACCAGGTACCCTTTCAAATTTCAGCGAAAGGTAAGATTCTTTTCTTTTTTCTTTTTCCTTTTTTTTTTTTTGAGACAGAGCCTCACTCTGTTGCCCAGGCTAGAGTGAGTGCCGTGGCATCAGCCTAGCTCACAGCAACCCCAAACTCCTGGGCTCAAGCCATCCTCCTGCCTCAGCCTCCCGAGTAGCTGGAACTATAGGCATGCGCCACCATGCCTGGCTAATAATTTTTTCCTATATATTTTTAGTTGGCCAGCTAATTTCTTTCTATTTATAGTAGAGACGGGGTCTCGCTCTTGCTCAGGCTGGTTTTGAACTCCTGACCTTGAGCGATCCGGCTGCCTCGGCCTCTCAGAGTGCTAGGATTACAGGCGTGAGCCACCGCGCCCAGCCGAGGTAAGATTCTTCATTGTCAGAAAAGAGGTTCACACGCAGACTGGGTACTGAAGTCTAGATTAACTCTGCTTTTCTCTTTTACCCTGAGCTTATTTGGTATTCTGGGTGGGTGTTTGACTTATTTTTCAGCCAATTTATAAAACTAATGCACAGATAAGCTGAATAAAAGTAGCATTGATATTTCTGAATACCAATGCTACTAATTGAAAATCAATTTAGTCATATTAATACTTCAAAACCAGAAACTATCTTAGTTGGAATCCCATTTCCTATTTATTAAACTAGCAACAAATCTGAAACTCCTGTTAAATTCCTCCCCCCCCATTTAATAATTAAAAGAAAAGTACAATTATTTCTAACAAACTTTATATCCCATAATCCTGAAAGGGCTTCAGATTTGGGTTTTTTGAATTTGGAAGTGCCTTTTGTTCATAAGTTTCCTTAAGTCTTTAGAGAACAACCATTCCTCCTTTTCTCTAAACTTGGAGGCCAAAATAGGAAGCCTACTTATAGCCTCTTTCCTTATTTGTCTATATTACCAGCAGTCCAACTGAAAGGTCTTTAGGGCCAGGGTGATTAGGTGAAATTAAAGAAATTCATCATCTAACGCTTATTTAGTAGGCAGTAATACATAAGTTAGAGGAACAAAATTTGACATTATTCATTTGAATTATAATTGTTGATGATAACCAAAGGTGTCAGTAATTTCTGGTTGTTTTTCTTCTTTTTTATGTATGGGAATGTTGAAAAGAAAACTTTCATAATGAATCTTTATGCAAGGGAGAAGTGTGTGATATGAGTTTAAATCCTGGGCTCCTAATTGTAAAATCCTCTACTTTCTAAAAATTTCAGCAAGGAGGAATCTCTCTTCTCCTGGGCCTCTATGTCATGGGAAAGCTTTTTCCATGGTGCTTGTATGTATGAGTAATATCTGTCCGACAGGTGCCTTCCCTGGGTACAAAGGATTCTTTCAGCAATCACAGTGGCTGCAGGCTGGCCTCTGTAGCATGCATATGTTAGCTTAGGAAGCAGAAACCTTTAAAGGTATTTTATATAACTAATTAGATCTGTTGAGGTGTTGGAAGTTCAAACTCCTACAGTAAGTTATTTCTAAAACATCTTGATGTACTCATGATTCATAGTAAATATGTAGATTGATATATTTGGAATCTGTGGTTGGCCTGAAATTTTAATTAGGAAGTTTAATTACCCATAGAATTCCATTCCCCAGAAATTTCAGTTGAGGATTTTGCATTGAAAATCGACTCTTCCTGGCCAAGCAGACCACTTTTTGGAGGACGGTTTGAAGGAACACAAATTAACTTTGATGGCCATCGGGCTTGTAAGGCAGCCCCTGCTGAAACCAGCACTGTCCCCAAATGCCTCTGGGCACAACCCTCGAGTTTCTTCCTATTAAATCTCTGATACAACTTGGCCATGTCATGTTCTTCCCTCCGAAGATAGTGTCGGGAAATAATCCAGTTAACAAAACTTTCTGGTTAAATGGTTTCAGCGAATCCAAAATTTACTAGAAGTAATTTTTTATTGAATAAAAATGAATAAGTGAATGCTAGGAGGAAAGAGGAATTACTTCTTTACTAATTTGGGAAGTCAACAAGTCTTCTATTATTTACACTAGATGTTCAAAGGGCCAAATTGTCTTCACCAAACAAGTCACTCCAAGTGCCCAAGGTACTTTGGACGGTTGAGTACCCGCTTCAGGACCCTAGCAAATAGTTTAATACTTTCAAGCACTAAGTCACAAATACCTATTAAAGAGGTATTAGCTACCTATAACATGGGGTGTTACTGTAACCTATCTGGTGGCAGGCCCCAAACTGAACTCTTTAAAGTCACTGTTGTAATGCATTCCATTTTTAAAATATGTAAATAGAATATTAACATGAATGTTTTAATCTCCTATTGAATATTAATGTCATCCTCAGTGGCGCATCAAAGATCAAGGTTCTTAGGCTGTACTTTCACACCACAAAATACTTTATAAAATTGTGTATACCTCACGGTTAGTGGATATGAGCAATATTCTAAATGCCCCTCCTAGTTTTAACTTGGATCCTCACTAAAACCAGAGGAGGTGGGCACTCTTGCTTTCTCCCATTTTGTAGCTGAGACAACTGAGAGAGAGAGTTTTAGGAAACTGCCGGGTTTTGACTGCAGATAAGTGGAAGAGCTGGACCGAAACCCAGACGGTGTGGGCTGAGGACCAGCACCGGTCCCCACTCGCTTGTATCAACTTGCCCCAAGACTCACGCGTGGCAGCATGGGAAATGTCCCATTTTTAACCACGTGCAATGGGAAAATCCATGTTGTAAAAGAGAGAGAGCGAGGACTTTGGAGGCTGATGGCCTCGTTCTTGTCTCAGTTTGCTACTTACTCACTGGGTGACTTCATTCCAGCTCCACCTGGTGTATGAAGTGGAGATGGTACCTCACCTGGTAGGTTTGTTACAGAGATTAAATGAGATAATCTATGTGACGTGCCTAGCTAACCCCTCTCTCTACTTTTCCTCCTGAGCTGTTCATAATAAAATCCAAAACTAAGGTCCAACAAAACTACATTTTAAGCCACCACGAAAAGGCAATGATGCCCTAAGCAGTAGGCTAGTGAATTAAAAGAGTTAGTCTCTCCTTTACTTCTTGAATAACTCATTTTCTACCAGCCATAAATAAAAATAAAATCCAGCATCAGTATCAAAACACATAGTACCTATTTTGAAAAGAGTGAAACAAAATATGAAATATAATTTATAAAACAATGTTATATCAGGTGATATGTCCTTCCTAAGCAGGTCAGAAATGATTTTTTTTTAATGTTGCAAGTTCTAAAAATTCTAAACAGAACAATATAGGAAGTTTAAGAGATAAATAAATCCTTGTTCATTTAAGGGAATAAAAAAATGCGGTACAATACTATCTGCAAAGTTTCAAAGTAGTTTTTTACGCAGTAGTAATTATCCCAAGAGAGCACAGGTAACATTATTAATTTGTTTGCTATTTACCTCTGATAAAATTTAGGATCTGAGCCCCCCATTGTGTGTTGTGCACAGCCACAGATTTTATGTACTCAAGAGGACCTTTCTCACAGGCCAGTAATTAGGTGCTATTGACATTGTAATCTTTGGAAATGTTCTTAATGAGCCCAAAAGACACGAATCTCATAGATAAAACCTCAAAGTAACAGTGACTCTTTAAGTAGCTTGTCAGGAAGAGAAAGCTCAAACATCAGTATCTATGAAACACAGGAGAAACCCAAATTTAAACCTAGATTACATTGTGTTGTTAATTCTCTGAGATTTCTAGGGAAGAAACCTCCAAGAAGTGATTTGAAAGGCTTTCAAAAAATAGTAGCACAATCGCAATATATTTGATAGGATTTAGGAATCTTTCTTTTCATCCTTTGAAACTTTGGGCCTGAAAACTATTTTTTAATAAGGATATTTTCCACTAATTTATCAAAATAAATATTAATTGAAAGTGAAGTTCAGTTACCTCTGCTGTTTTAAATACAAAAATAATTTTTAAAATCACACAAGGAATTGGCACTTGGATAAGAGATAAAAATAAACTTTAGGCATAAGTGTTAGTCTAGAAATAATATATAAAACAATGCTATCAACTGTAATTAACATAATTTGGTAAAGTTTTCAAATTCATATTCAGGTGCATATTTTATAATATTGCTACATATAAAAACAATATGTAACATCATTTGGCATGTAATTGATGTCTATAAAATGTTAAAAGGAATTATTGATGAATTATGAGTTAAGTACCAGGACTAATCTGATTTACTAAATATAATGTATTAAGGGGTCTGTAAATCTTAATAATGTTACTGCCTTTTTAATGTTTTCTACTACTTCCCTTATTGTCACAAACTATCTATTATTCAAATGTTACATTTCTAGGTTATATACATCATCCTGGTCCTTGAGATTTGAGATTTGAGCTGATTCTCAACTACCCTTCCTTAGGAATTTTCCTTGCTTTTTATACATTTATTCTAGAGATGCTTTCTACTTGAGGCATAGAATTTAGGATATTAGATGATAAATTAAAGCCTGAAAGATCAGCACTCTGTCTCTTAATTTATCCTTCCAAATAAGGTCAATTCTCAACAGCATAGAAAAGGGACAGGATGACCAACTTTATCAGTGAAGTAATGACAAAAATAAGAGGTTCTCGATCTAACTGAAGTGATGTCCACAGGTCACAAAGGGGAGTGAAAAATGTGAAAAATGGAAAGGAAAGGTAATTCAAATCATGGTTTGAAAATATAGTTGTTAATCTTTGAAATAGACAGGTAACTACTTTGAATGCAAGATCATAAAAATTTAGTAGAAAAAAGTCAAGACTAATACATCTTAAAAATATGCTTTATTAATCTGATGGACTGTCTTGTATTATTCATTCAGTCCAGCGATGCTTTTAAATATATACAGTGTTTTATTTAATAAATAAGCACATTTCTTGTCACATCCATACCTGCTGCTCAGAGCTCTCCAAAGCATGAGGTACGAGACAAGATTGCTTTCTGGTGTGCACTGTTAGTTCAGTTGTTGGGCCATGAGTTGAATTCTAGCAGCTTCTCTGGATCCTGTGACCAATGATTTG